ATGCCGTCGGAAAAGAGCGAGAAAAGAGACCAGGCGTGTATCTGTACGAACGTAACCCACGCATACAGGGAGCACGACGCAAGTGCATGTCGCGTGATCGGCTGCGAGGGATACGGACGCACACACTCGCGCGCACCCTCCTGCTGCCGAATGTAGTAGAGAATGAATAATGTACCCACGTACAGCCGATGTCAGGAGGGGCTCCAGGGAATGCAAGCATCGGCCCGTCCCCTCCGTCGTAGGCTTTGTAGGCCGTTTATCGAAACGGCGCGGCCGACTGCGACGGGATCGCACGTAGGCGATCGTAGGACGCCGATCGCGATCGAACGAAGACGATCGAGCGTTAATAACCATGTTCGGTCGACGATATTACCGTTGGGGAACGTCGTCGGTGCCGCGCGAGAAAAAAAATCGGGGAACACCGGCAGGTTTACCCCGGAGACCGGCGAGTATAGAGGATCCCTCCCCGTTTCGCCCGCGAAAGCCGATCTCAGGTGGGGAGGGGAGGGCAGCACACGATCCCGAGGATTCGTGTTCGATCGGGCGGCGGGAGCCGGGCCGAACAGAGACGATCGGGCCTCACGCGGCTCCACGAAACACGTGGAAGGTTTCCCAAAAGCGTGTATCGACCGATAACGCGGCGCGCAGGCTCACTGTAACGTTTCCTACCACACGGCCGAGCGGGACGTGTGCGCGCGTACACGTACGTGCACGGCTCGGGCCGAATGTTCGGATCGGGGCCGCCCACGTATCACCTACAAGGTTCCGTGTACGAAGAAGGGAACGATTCGCGGAACGGTGGACAAAGAACGAGCGAGCCCGAGGAAGCGGAGCGAGGATCAAGGGAGAGATAGCCGAGGCGGCTGATCTAGCGGCGTCTCATTCGCTCGTGATTCGAGCCGCGTTCCACAGCTAAACGACCGACCATCCGTCCGAGACATCCTGGTGGGGATAGCCCTCCAAGGGATCCTTTCAGAGAAAGCCTCGGGAGGAAGCCCTCGGCCGCTGTTCCCGAACGAGATGCCTGTATACCACCAGGGGGGGAGAGCCGTGAAAGGGAGAGAGAGAGGGATAGAGAGGTGGAGAGAGAATGAGAGAGTGATAGAGAGAGAGAGACTGATTCGTCGGTGAGGAGGGTCGGAGGGGAAAGGGACGCACGCACCATGCGAATATTTTTGTCGGCATCCTCCGACTGTTCGGGGAGAGGCAGAGAAGGGGGAACACAGTTCTTAAAGTACACCCAGGGAGTGTCAGGATTGGAAGGTCGATCGCCGTGGTGGGAGTGTGCTGTTAGTTGGCTTATAGCTGACTGGTGTAATTAAAAACGCCCGTAAATTAATGTTGCCGTCGCGGACACCCCAAATCGTGCGGTCCTGCGGCCAGGT